CGTTGCCTCTACTATTTTCTCGCTAAATTGCCGATAGCAATTGTTTGTTTTCAGTTGCCAAAGACGGTCACCGACTGAAGTAACGTTCAAGTCCCTCCACCTCTTCATCTGAAACTGACCAAAACTTCGATTGCTGCAGTGTTTGATGCCCAGTCACCAGGCCCGGTCCTGAGGCCAGGCGGATGAGGCCTGCGCCTCAGGCCTAAAATCCAAGGGGGCCTCGTTTTGTTAGCCCAATTTTTTTTTTCGTTTTTAGAGTATGCAGCCCGCAGCCCAGGCCCCATTAACCCAAAACTCTCAACCCAGTAGCCCACCCGAACCACTAAACCCGATCCACTATCCACACTCAATTTCCCCCAAATGTCAATTGATTCCCGTTTTCCCCCAAATCGGATTGGCAACCGGCAAAATCGAAAACCCTTCCGTCGCCACTCTCGACAATTTACTCGAATCTCCTTGAATCCTTCTTCAGCTTCCAAGTTCAACCTTCAAGGCTTCAACCCTAGGTATCTCTAATGTCTCTCTCGGACTCTCTGTCTCTCTCGACTCTCGGCTCTCATAATACAAATGTATACTATACACTATACATATATATTATATACTGATATAATCTACTGTCTACGCTTCGACAGCTCGACTGGAGTCACTGGAGTCTGGACATCTCCTATTCTCCTTCCGCTTCCGAGTTCAACGACGTAGCCCTAGCAGTTGAGGTAAGACTCAAATCACTTAATCACCTTATCACCATGTTCATCAGTTCATGTAATGTAATCAATAATCACGTGTATTTATTTACATTTTTTGTGTGTATATAAGACTATCTCACTATCAGTATATGTATATAGATAGAATCTGTTTGTATTGACTATTGAGTGTATTTATTTGCTATGATTTATTTACATTTTTTGTGTGTATTTATTTGCTATGATTTATACAACTTTTATTCTTGTTATGGAAAGTATTAATGTATTATATAACTATGCTGGGATGACTTCATAGCAAGTCTTAAACTAATTTAAACCTGCAGATTGTCGTGATGAGCATTCCGCAGTATAGCTGAGTTCTTTTAAGTTATATAACTCCTCCAAGGATAGGTACAAAAATCTGATTTTAATTGAAAGAAGACATCTACTTCTTAATGCTTGGTGACTTGTCATCTTAATATCCAATTCCTTTAACCTTAAGGCCTCCATCAAGTCTCCTAACCCCTTAGTACTTCATACAGGATAGATAGATATATATCTTATAAGTCACATATGTCTCCAAATATGATAAGGGAAAAGTCAAATTTTGCTGCATCAAGCAACATCCTGCTTTAACACACATCATGCTTGTTAACTTGGTTGTGTGCAATATCGTCTTAAATCTTTAAGCTAGGATATGGCCCTAACCATTTAAGACTCTTTATATACCTCCTAATATCT